CCCCTGGAACCCCCCGCTCGAAATCCGTACATTTCTGAAGAATCGTATGCCATCATTCTGCAACCCCTCCGGCAACTTTTTCAATTTCCAGTATTTTTTCACCCCCACATTTGCCATAAATCCATTCTCAGTGTCCTCCCATATAGTCGGCGGCCATTTTGCATCTCGGTAGCCGAAACGGCTGAAGGACTTCACTAATATCATCGAGTCCAGGGTGATCCAGTTCGAGTCCCAACCCTCGTGGTAGTTCCAGTTATCCAGTTGTTCATGAGTTGTTCATAGTAGATCCATTGTCCTTCAGTGGACTTGTATGGAGCTGAAAGAAAATAAACGATTAGTTGTGGTTGAATGGTTAATAAAATATTAAAGACAAAATTGAAGTCCTTATAAGAACACAAAAATGCGTTTTGTGAAACAGATACGTGGCCGAGGTCGTTGAGGAGCAGACGTTTGTCAATTGTCCGCTGGTGTTGTGTCTAGTTCGAGTCCTGTGCGAAAGAACGAGAGGAAAAAATTTTAATTTGCCGAAAGTTTTGTACCTCAAAGTAGACAAAAGACTTTCCCATTAAATCTGTTTGGCCATGGGACGAATAGCCGAGGTCGTTAAATAGCAATGGTGCTCCGATGGTGTTGTCGGCAGTTCGAATCTGCAGATAATATAAAAAACCTTTCGAAATGCAGGGAAAAGAAGCAAAATATTTAATTTTCAAAAATCTTTAAATCCTCGAAATAGACAAAAGGCATTCCCATAAAAAACGTTTCATCTCAAACGACTAAATAGCCAAGAGCGTTAAGTGGTCATCGTGGTAGTCGGATGTTCTTCAGATCGATTCCAGAAGAAGTAAATGTATGTGGATGAAAAATAACTGATGTAAAGTTTTTCAAAATGATCAAATGTTAGTTCAAAGAAATAAATTCAGATGGCAGGTTGATTAAATTTAAATAACTAGAGTGGAGCGCCTGATACAGGGGCCTTTACAAAATACTTGGAGCTGTCAAACTTCAACAGTCCTTCCCGAATTAGAAAAAAGCGTTTCCAAAAAAATTTGTATTCTATGACAAGCAAATAGCCGAGAGCGTTTAGTCGTCGACATCACGTTGACTGGCTAAAGGTCCCTCGGATCGAATCCCAAAGACTCGGCTGAAAAATTCGAATCCTAGTTTTTCGGAATCGACAAATATTAGTTCAAAATATTAAATTCAGGTGTCGCATTTCGACCTTGACACTTAGAATATTTCTGAAAAACAAAAACTCAAGATTCGCACTTGACTGTAAGAGAGATACATAAAGAGAGAGATGATTAAAGGTAGAGGAAGAACTGGGGAAAGAGAAGGGTAGACAAGGGTGATGAATAAGAGAGATGTGTATGATACATATTCTTTATTAAAATTCAATATTAATACAATATGAGAATGAAAATAACTTTTATCATCAATAACTCAAATAGCCGAGTGGTTTAAGGGACCGCATACTCGGTGAAATAACTCTGGAGGCACAAGGTGAGCAGGATCGAATCCGGCTAAAGGCGACGACGAGCAACTCTGAAGCAGAAAAAATGGAGCAGTGCTGGTGACCGGCTGTTGGCGAGCGCAAAGGGTCCTGAAACGAACACACCAAGTGATGGTCAACCAGAGGTCCATGATGCGAGAGGTTACATGCAGAGAGACACATTGCGGAAGATGCATGCCGGACCCAAAAATCTGCCCAAAAACCACAACATGCGAAAAAAAACACCAAAAAAGGAAAAAAAATGTGAAAAAAGCGGAAAAAAGGGAAAAAAAGGGGAAAGAGGAGGAGGAGGAGGGAGAAGGGGGAGGTGGGAGCCTAAAAAAAAACCCCCTAAGTCCCAGGTCAATTTTTCTCTTTTCTGTTCAGCGTTGAAACTTTTTTATGTTTTTTAGTGTTCCCTCACACCAATTCCCAAAACCAACACTCAAATGAAATCAAGTCCACGTTGAAATTTTCACAACGAGAAAAAATTACTGGGACTTAGTTAAAATATTTAACTTTGCCCCAATAAAATTTTCTCGTTGTGAAATATTCAATGTGAGCCTCATTCATTCGAATGTTGGCTTTGGGATAATACAGCATGCATAAATAACTCGTCTGTCTTAATTGAAAAGGTTTCAGAAAATATGGACTTAGAAAAAAAAATGATCTGAAAGGACTTAAAAAAAAAAAAAAAAATCGAAAGAATTATAATCAGAAAATTTGGACTTAGAAAAAAAAAATATCTGAAAGGACTTAGAAAAAAAAAAAAATTATTCGAAAGAATTAAATCAGAAAATTTGGACTTAGAAAAAAAAAATATTTGAAAGAATTATTTAATTAATCGATGATATGATGTTAATTGAATCCAAAAAATTATCTTAATCGAATCAAAATTGTTGATATGACTTGATGAAAAATGTGAAACCTTTACAATTAATCGAGACACAAACAAATATAATTGATTTGAATTCAACAAAACTTTAAAAATGTAAATTAATAATTATTTGAAACAAACTAGAATTGTAAAAACTTTAAAAATTATTCATTACTTTAAAACGTTTCAAAATCAAATAAAAAAAGGATTTAAATTTAAATATTGAATGAAATGACGAAAATGTTTTGTTTTATTCAAATCAACTCTTTCAACCTTTAATCAAACTGCATCAACTCGAATAATAAAATAATTACATTAGAAGAACAAAAGTATAAATATTGAGAAAATGTCTCTTAAACATGTAGCCAAAGCAATTGTGTAATAATTAGTTTAATAATATTTAGTGCAAACTTATTCGACTATTGTATTTATATAAAAATCTATCAAGTTGATGCAGTATTAATTAAAGAGTTATCATCAATAAGAATGAATGTGCATGCAGTCACTATCGCCACAGGGAAAACACATGACTCTTGATAATAGTAATGTAATCCAAAAATTCATGTAACAATGTAAAACATCTCTTTAAAAATGTAATGATACCAGCTAACAACATCCACAAGGTGTTGTAAAAAAAGATAAATTTGTAATAAGTAACTTTTCCTTTATAAAACAGACAAAATTCCTTGCTAACGTGAGATATATTTGCTGTTGAAATGTTATCCGATAAACAGACTCTTCAGAACTAGAGTTCTATCTGAAATACCATTAATTTAGGAGTTTCTCAAGGGTGTATGCTAGGACCCTTCTGTATATCCTATACACAAATGATATTCAGATGAAACATTCGCTGAAGATGATGCAGTCATCAGGATAACAAATTAACAACAATATTATCACAGATTGATCATCTGATTGTCTATTTATGAAACTATAAAAAAAAGAATTTAATTTCAATGCCTTTGATACATAAGACAAGTGTTATAACTATTATTTTGTATTGATATAATGTATTTATATATTGCACTTGCTTCAATAAATAAAAGAATTCAATCAATGTGTTTTCCCCATAGCAAATTAAATTAATAAACAAAAACTTTTACACATATGCCTGCCAAATTAATTTTAAATCTCTAATTCATATAATGCTTGAGTTAAATAAACAAATGATGACATGTATCTATTAAATGTGTGACTCAAATTTGAAATTTATACAGTAAAGTTTATCAATAAATAATTGAAACAATATTATCAGCAGATATATGTGTATACAATAATAATAGTTTGCGAGCCAGCAAATATATCACTAAAATACATACAGGCGCTGCTTTGATTTAAATACTATCTTACTTACTTACTATATAATTTTAATTCAATTTATATTATTTTCATTGCTGTATTCAAGTAATCTTGTTATATGATAAATTTTTAGTTGAAAGATGAAATATATAGTTCTCAAAATGTCTATTGAATAAATAGTTGTTGTAATGCATTTTAAATTTTATAAATTCAGAGCTTTTTTACTTAAATATATATAGTTAAGATCTAAATATAAATAAAACATTATTAGTGCATTACATGTAGTATAATAAATGCCTGCATATAATATCAGAAATATATTCTTTGAGTCGCATTGTATAAAACATGCTTTGCACTCACATTGAGATATATCCTCTGCAGTAACTGCTCGAATACAAAACCAATACAAGAAGCACCTCTAGAGCATCTGCCAGAAATCTCAAGTACTTGACACAAAATCACTACTTTAGAACCACTACACAACTTTGTCTTTTACTATGTCTATTCGACATGTTGCAATTGTCCGAGTAAAGTCTTTACACAATACACAAGACACGACTTAGAGACTTTTGTGAACTTAAAATTCGATAATAAACAGATATGTGGTGGAAGTACTTAAATATAACCTACAAAAGCACATTTTACAATTGCATATATATAAATAAAGGATACATTGACGCTGTAAATGAATGTTTAATTATAAAATTGATTCAAAATGATATAACTTAAACATTTTACAATTGCATATATATAAATAAAGGATACATTGACGCTGTAATTGAATGTTTAATTATAAAATTGATTCAAAATGAAGGCCCTGAAAGAGATACTTATCAAACTATTTAAGGTACACCCAAGCACTTCACACATATCCATTTTTCGGCTTTTAATTAACGTTTCATGATAAATTTATTATATCAATATGATCTACTAAATTAATTACACAACTTGATGAATAAATTAATTAAAACTAATCAAGGAATTAATTAAAAAAAACTCTTAATTAACGTGACCACATGTTAATCCACAAAAATCTCTTTGACATTTGAAGTGACTGAAGTTAGCAACATGACAGCTGACTGTGCTTGTACAATTTAAAGCGCGAAATTCAAACAGAAAATTTAAACTTTGTGAAATTCACCAATAAGTGAATGGATTTGTTTGAAATATATAGCATTATGGCTATTTTATTAAAAACAGTGGTTAAAACTATTTTGATTAAATTTCAGCCTAATTTATATTATATACATTTGCTAATTAAAAGTATATTGCATTGCTATAGGGCTATAACGGCTATACCATTAATATTCATTATCGTATTTACCAATTCAATAATCATTTTTTTAAAAACTTCTTCATTATACTGATGACATTCTTGTAGACCAATTGATGAACATATTTTCCCCAAGTGTAGTCAAAGTGATTGAACATGGGATCTTTCACCAACATCATTGTTGGTCTTGATCCCAAACCATTGGCAAGTTGTTTCACATCCTATGAATAACATTTTATTACAAATGGTAAATTAAAAGTATTTTTATCATCATTACTCACTACAGGATGAGACAACAAATCGTTATCGCTATAATGGAGGATAACTGGTGCCCTGATGTTACTTATTTTATAATCAGGAGGTTCTTTTTGGCCATATTTCTCTAAATTGAGTTCCTCACCATGGTCGTATTGGCAAAACCTACCTGTTGAAACGAATTAAATGAACTTTGATAATAAATTATAGCCAGTATACTTACTTGATAAAATCTCTTGGGCATAATGCACTAACTGTCTGGCGGATGCACCAGCTGGAATAATGTCCACCACCTCTGGTATATAACTCTAAATGGACAAAGTATCTCAAACGCTAAATTTATAATATTACACCAGATGGGTATATAAATCTAATTACCGCATTCATTTGCTTCATACTATATCCTCCTATTAAAAACAAAAAATTTGCACAAAGTGCCTCATGGTTTTGTTTTGCAGTCGTACAGAGAATTTTGGACAAAGCAACTACTACAGGGTTATTTGGCAATAGTTCATACAAGCCTAAACTAAAAACGAGCTCCTGAAAAAGTAATATAGAACCATCAGTTCATCAATTGTTTCAGAAGATCTTGATTATTTTATTTTACTGTGATTTCTTTCAGTTGACCAGCTGCAAATCTTAATAATATATTTTTCAGTCTGCCCATGAAGGCAATTGGTGCCAAGGCGTGCATGCAGCTAATTTTGGAATTGTATTCTGGTCTTTCAGACAACATTACAAAAAATGAAGTGGTACCCTGCAAAAAATGTAAAAGTACTTATGTACTTCTTGAACAAAAAATATATTTTATCTACCTGCGAATGGCCTGCATAATGCAAAGACGTCTGTTTGGTAACATTCAAGACATGATCTATCATGGCAGGAAGATCTATTACACCGATTTCGTGCCAACTGCAAAACCAGACTAATTATTTATCAAACTGAATATTATAATTGTATTTGGTAAACCTGAAGTTCCAAAATCGTGGTTCGTCTGGTGAAATGCTGATGTGACGCCTGGAATTGGTGTTTCCTCTTGCATTTCCTAGCCAGACATCAAATCCTGCATCGTGGAGCAGAAAACCTTTAAATGATAAGGTGATAAATAAATTTAAGAAGAACATTTGAATATTATCGTAAGTAAAAGTACATAGAAAAAACCTTAAAAGATTTTTTTATTTATTAAAAATGTTAAAGTTATTTAATTGCGAGTTCACTTTCTAACATTTTTGTATAATGTTAATATTATATATGTATATATATATGTATATATATATATAAATATATATATATATATATACTAGCTAACCCAGCAAACATTATTGTTTAGTAATAATACAACTCATCAGCATTATAAGAAAAAAAAAGTTCAAAATTTTAATAAAAAGTATTCTTTATCAAGCTTCTTTATAATGTATATTTGTAAAGTTTAAGGTTTTTCATAAGTTCAAAAAAATCGGAATTAAAATTTTTAAATTAAATAATAAATGTTATCTCACCTAAAGCTTTATCTTTACCAAGAACAACCCAATCGGCAGAACTTGCCAAAACCCCATGCATCAGGAATACAGCCTAAAATTAATATTATAATGTTAAAATTAATTTCTTCATTTAATTTATTTATTATTTAACTTCCATGCTAATTAATTAAATAAACAATAAACGATAAAAATTATAATTACTGAATGTTGTAAGTAATTTATAACTCATTATTTTTTTTTTACTTTCATATTTCATATCTATTATGTTAACTAGACAGGATGTCCCAGAACTCAACGTCAAGCTGAAAGGAAGTGAGTATTGATCATAACTATATCCATAGATAAACAAGTATAAATGACTATATCATTTGATTGAAAATTTGATCTAAAAGTTATGATCAGTACCATTATTATACTGTCTAGGATCAATACTACCACTTCGGTTTGACGTTGAGTTCTGGGATACCTTATATATATATATATATATATATCACTATTATTATTATAATAAATTTTGTTACCGGTTTCCCAGGATTTGGAATCCTATAAACATTCAACAAATATCCATCTGGAGTCTGTACTGTATGTTTTTCATAAGAATATCCATTTTTGGTAATCAGATTCGCCTTTTGTTTAAATAAATAAATTAAAAATAATAAATAAAAATAAACACAAGAATAAATTAAAAATAATTCAATATCTACTAAAATACATATGCAAAAAGAAACAAATTTAAAGCCCAAAAAAAAAGCAAAACAATATACAAAAAATTCGCACAAATAACTTTACAATATTTAAAATTAAAAAAAAAAATACTTAACAATATTTCAAATATAAAATGATCAAATATTATTTATTAAACCTTTAAATCTAGTTTATATAGTTTAGAGTATAAATGAATACTTTGTTAAAATAATATTTTTTACACAAATTTACACAAAATTTTATTTCTTCGCTATAAAAATACTACAAAAGCCTTGAACATTACAATGCAATATTATGATAATTAAGTTCGAATAATAAAAATAATTTTAAAATACAATTTACATACCGTTTTATCCGTTTGATCAATAATTTTCGTCAATATCATTAAATTTTGATACAAAGTCGATAACACCAATGGTAAATTCACATACACTTTAAAAGCATACATTTTTTCTATAAAAAATATTTATATTGTATGTTTAAATAAATTTAAACACTTCAAATTTAATGTTTATATTATAAGATATTTATTTATAAATTGTGTATATTAACAGTTTTAAATCCTAAGTTTGTAGTATGTATTTTAAAATTCATATGGTAAAAAAAGTTTTATAAAAAATATTATTTTCATTTTAATTTTGTTTTTAAATTTTTAGTATCAAAGTTTGTGAATAAAATCTCATGAGAAAACTATATTAATTATATTAAATAAATTATAATATAAATACATACATAATATATATTTATTGAATATTTTTTTTGCAAGTATCATATTTTATGTCTGTATCTTTTCTTTGGATTGGGATAAAGAACTTTTGTGTTAAAACTAGATAAAATTTTATTGTTTTATGAAAATTCCAGAAACGTGGCAAAACCAAAAACGTTCAAAGTAAATTTTTGTTAGAAAATTAGTACAAAAATAAGTTAAATATTCCCCAAATCTCTACAAAACCACATAATTTTAAACGGAATTTTGTAAAAAATCAGAATCCTCGTCAAAGATATTAATACCCGGGTACAAATTTTGTTTCAAAAATTTATATAAATTTTAAAAAACGAGATAAATTTTTTTGTATTAGATAAATAAAAACTATATAAAATTCTCTATGAAACTACATCAAAAAAGTTTTTATAATGTAACTTAGAAATTTTCTATGAGCACTTAAAATCCGAATTTCATAAAAAATCTTTGCAAAGATTGTACGAGTATTATCGGGGTACAAATTTTGATTCAAAAATTCATATAAATTTAAAAAATCGAGATAGAAATTTTTATGTTAAATAAATAAAAACTATATAAAATTCTCTATAAAACCACATCAAAAAAGTTTTTATAATGAAACTTAGAAATTTTCTATGAGCACTTAAAAACCGAATTTAGTAAAAAAATGTTAGCCTTACCAAAGATTGTATAAAGCCGGGTACAAACTTTGATTAAAAAATTAGCAAAAAATAATACAAGTCAAGACAGAAATTTTTGTGTTGAATAAATCAAAACTAGATAAAATTCTCTATGAAATCACATCAAAAACGTTTTCACAAATTGATCTAAAAAAATTCTATGAGCACTGTAAAACAGAATTTCATGAAATATTATTTGTTTTACTATGAAGATATATTAAAATCACTACAAGTTTTGTTTAGTCAATTTCGTTCAATGAAAAAACTTTTTATATTATTTATAATTTATATATATATATATATATATATATATATATATATAAATTATGCAATGATATTTCTATTCAGATAATATTATCTTGTCGTCGAAATCTCTCCATGAATTTATTGAACAATTACAGAAAAATATGCGAATCATTTTTTCTATTGAAAACATATTAGATAAATGCAAAATAATCACAGATTTAAAACTAATTAGGAAAAAAACCTACACATCATAATAAAGGTCAAAAAAATAACCCTATTTAGATAAATATGACTTATGATATTAGAAAAAGATATAAAATTTCACATAAAATTATAATTTTATATATTATGAAAACCAAAAATAAGTTTTTACTATTTTTATATAGAATATTCATATATTTTCTTTGTAGAATTTAGGCAGGTTATTATTTTGATATTAAAAAAAGATACAGAATTTTAAAGAAAAATTGTAATATAGAGTTCTAATATACAAATTGTATATACATAGTAAAAATGTTGGAGAATCTTTATAAATTTAAAATATTATGTAAGTATTTAAATTTTTAATATTAGATTATAGAAAAATTATTTAAATTTTAACAGTATAATATAAAAAATTTAATTTATATCTTAAGATCTTAAATATTTCTTGAATATCTTCTTGATTCGTAATTCTTAAATATCTTAAGATATATAATATTAACTCAAAATTAGAAACAAGTTCTCAAATATAATAAAAATAAATAAATAAATAAATAAATAAATATATGTCTCTGAACGCTCTTAGAACTCTTATGAATAATTGCATTAAAATTTGATTAATATTTTTTATAGTAAATTTTATCTCAATTAAAAAAGAAGATAAGGCTTTGTATGGAATTTTTGGCTATTTTACTTTATTGAGTATATAAGATCGTAAATTAACTTATGAAAATCTGGTTAAAACTATTTTAAAGATATGATGTGATGTGATTTTAAATATAAAGTGATACAAAAATTATCTATCTCAATTCGGAACAAAATTTCCGACGTACTAATATAATTTACTCTGTATAAAAACGCCTTAAAAATATTACGAATCAATCTAAAAAAAAAATCCTACTTGCACTTTTATTTTATCTAGATTTTAACCTTCTAATATAAAAAAAAATCCATCTTTACCCAAAATACAGATACAGACACAAAACCGAAAAAACCGCCACAATTTTATTAATTAACATTAAAGAGCAATATTTAAAAAAATTAAAAATTCAAATAAAGAATGATTAATTTAATAAATAATAATAATAATTATTATTACTATTACAATTACTATTTGTATAATTTATTTTTTCAAAAGACATCACACAAAAGTGTGACCCGTCTCAAAATCCATTTGGTGACTTCTTCGGCACCACCAATGCCCAAAGGCACAAAAGTCACATAATTAGCAATTTTTTCGTATTTTGGTGTCTGACCGCCAATATTTGGTATACGAAATAGAGGACATTTATAAAAACACGCATTGGCCTCAATCGGCAACAGATCTGTGGTTGGCAGAACCAGGATCTAGAAATTTGGTAATCGATGATATATATATATATTTATTTATATAAATATATATATATATATATAAATATATATATATGAAAAATTACAGCTAGACTTACTATTGGCATCTCCTGGTATAAAATTCTGGTACTTGGTTCGACTAAAATTTGCTTTTCAACGTTCCATTGAGCTCCTTCCAAAAATAAACCGTTGATGTATATGCCATCAGCAGGGACGTCTGTGATGGTCCATTCTTTTTGTACCTACATAAAAAAATTGATAATTCATTTATTCTAGATTAATTAAATAAACTTGTGGATGAATTCTATTGATAATAGGGCAAAGTTTTACAAAACCATCCAGAACATCAATTGACCTCTAAACCATACATTCTATAGTTTCTGGTCTCAAAGACACTAAAGTCTGTATTTCAACTACGAATTATTCAAAATTTCAATATCAAGGTGTATAAACCAGTTTTTACTATATTTTAGTAAATTTTATCTAGTTTTTATGGATGTTAACATATTATAATGCCCGTATTGAAAATTAAAAGTTATTTGACAAAAAGTACCAAATCCATATATTGCAAGTTATGAAAATACTAAAGTCCGCATTTCAATTACGATTTATTCAAAATTTTAATATCAAAATGTATAAAACAGTTTTTACTACATTTTAGTAAATTTTATCTAGCTTTTACTAATGTGATAATATTATAATGTCCGTAATGAAAATTAAAAGTTATTTGAAAAAAACTGAAAAAATGTCCTAAATCTATATATTGCAATAAGTTTTGGAAATACTAAACTCCGCATTTCAACTACGAATTATTCAAAATTTCAATATCCAAGTGTATGAAACACTTTTTACTACATTTTAGTAAATTTTATCTAGTTTTTAGTAATATAAACATATTATAATGTCCGGAATGAAAATTAAAAGTTATGTGAAGAGAAGTAAAATAATGTACCAAATCCATGTATTGCAATCTATAAAAATACTAAAGTCCGCATTTCAACTACGAATTATTCAAAATTTTAATATCAAAGTTTATGAAACAGTTTTTACTAAATTTTAGTAAATTTTATCTAGTTTTCACTAATGTAAATATATTATAATGTCCGGAATGAAAATTAAAAGTTATTTGACAAAAAGTAAAAAATGTCCTAAATCCATGTATTACAAGTTATAGAAATACTAAAGTCCGCATTTCAATTACGAATTATTCAAAATTTTTATATCCTAGAGTATATAATGGTTTTTACTATAATTTAGTAAATTTTATCTAGTTTTTACTAATGAATCCATATTATAATGTCCGGAATGAAATTGAAAGATATTTGACTAAAAGTAAAAAATGTACCTAATCCATTTATTGCAAGTTATAGAAATATTAAAGTCCGCATTTATTAATCTATTATCCTGATCCTTACCTTATAATCCAAGGTGACTTTATGAACATCAACTCCGTATCTTTTGGCGAAATTAATCCTGATGATGGTCAAATAGGTTGTCACACTGAATAAACCTGGTAACCAGTTGACGATTGGAGGAGATTCATCATCAAACCATTTCTGAAAATATTGGAAAGCACTTATAGTAGAATTAAATCAATTGAATACAGGATTAAATTGTAAGTAAAACTTCTAATGCAACTTTCGATAAGGTAATTAAATTAGAGACAAGGCATTGACTGATAATGTTGTAAATTGTTTAAAAATGCTGTGAAGTGTCAGAAAATGTTGTAAATTATTTGATAAAGTTGTGAGTTGTCTAAAATCGTTCTTAGTTGCCTTAATTTATTCTAAATGGTCTAAAATCATTTTAAATGATCTAAAATTGTTTAAAATCGTATAAATTATTATAGATAGTCTAAAATATATATATATATATATATATATATATATTAAGAATTTACCTGTAAGTATGTGATCCTTTTGCCCAAGTCGACAATGTATGAACCCAAAGTCTTGATGGACGGATATGAGAATTTAAGCCATTTTTCAGGAATTTGGTTATTTAACAAACTTTGAAATACCTTTTCAACGCTTACACTTGTAATTACAGAACCTAAAAACAAAATCCTCTATTTACCACCAGCACTTGCCTGGTTCTACTAATTATTATTCCATTGTCAATTTACCTGACAAAGCTGTTTTGACCGTTTCCAAAGTCTCCAGGATACATTTCACTAAAATTCCATACTTTTGCAATTCTTGAAGCAAAAATATAGACACGTTGTCGTTTTCTAATTCGGCAAATTTGTCTTGTACAATTTTTTCGTCGTACATTTCGGGAATTTGTTTGGAAATTTCTTCGATCATTTGGAGAACTCGAATGTAGTTTTCATCTTCTGGTAAAGGCTGGAATTAAAAAAAGGATAAAACCCATACAAGTCAAGGTTAACAAAATATTTACCTCTTTCACCAATAAGTCCTGAAAATAGTTTAATAAATTATTAATAATAATATAAATTAAATAATATAAATTGAAAAAAAACTTACCAATCTGTCCTGCATTTTGCAGCAAAGAAGATAATGTGTATTAAATATGTGTATATATATATATATATATATATATATATATATATATATATACATATATATATATATATAATTTTTATTACTATTACCTGTGTTTTAAGAAAATCAACAAAAAAGCGTTCGCATTTCCGTTGATTTTTCAAAATTTCAGCATTTGCTCCTAAGCCAACTGCATCAGTTGAATCGAACAAGGATAAATTGTTTGTATGATTCATATGTCCTGGATAGGTCTGATTTGAAGGAACTATCCGAATATCTACATAATATGAATAAATTATTTATTAATATATATATATATATATAATAAAAATATCTATATAATAAAATATTTATATATATATATATATATATATATATATAAAGCGAGAGGTTTTTCTTCAGATGGTAAAATAATATAATGAAATTGTTTCTTGGGCATCCATCCAGTAATTAAAAATCAATTTTAATGAAAAATGTTTTTATTTTAAGAACATCAGTTTTGGGTCCTGATTTGACCCATCTTCAGTGCATACAAATAAATTTTGAAAAACAACACAAAGACACAAAATTGCACGAAAAAACAAATAAATGTAAAATAAAAAATTGATGAAACGTCTAGTCATGAAAAATTTAAAAAAAATGTAAAATTAAAATAAATGATATATTTTAATATAAAAAAGCTTATTCCAAACAAACATGTTGTTAGTTTGAAAATTGTATTAGGAGTCAATACAATAATACAATTTCGTATTACAACTCGTAATACAATTTCCAAACTAACAACATGTTCGTTTGGAATAAGCTTTTTTATATTAAAATATATCATTTATTTTAATTTTACATTTTTTTTAAATTTTTCATAACTAGACGTTTCATCAATTTTTTATTTTACATTTATTTATTTTTTCGTGCAATTTTGTGTCTTTGTGTTGTTTTTCAAAATTTATTTGTATGCACTGAAGATGGGTCAAATCAGGACCCGAAACGTATGTTCTTAAAATAAAAACATTTTTCATTAAAATTGTTTTTTAATTACTGGATGGATGCCCAAGAAACAATTTCATTATATATATATATATATATATATATATATTATATATATATTAATTTAAATGTATAGTCTTTACCTGTATTGTAGAATGTATAGTCGCTATTTTTAATCAAATTAGGACAATAAAATTGTTCCAATAAAGTATTTAAACATCTTCTGTCCCAATCGTCTCTTAAACGTCCACCATACACACATTCTCCTGCCAGGTAACAAAGAGTTTCAAAAGAAATGTCCTAAAAAATATAAAAAACTGTAATCAAAGTAGCTAATTATACTGATAATTCTATTTATCACCTCATCATCCAAGCTTTCCTCCACCAAAATCTTCAAATCAACAGCAGCAGTCCTCATATCGCTCAAACAAAAATCATATCTATAATTCCAGGCTTCATACCTGGCCCTCTGCTGCAGCAGAGCATGCAGAAAACACAAACCATACAGCAACTTCTTAAAACTTTCTGCACGTTCCTCCGGACCACTTTTGAACCAGCTGTTCTCAGAAATCGGAGAACAAAGATAAGACTGATGGATACTGGACCTTATACCTGGTAAAGACATCAATTTAAGTAAAAATCCTTAAGCCATTTGGGTCTTTTACCCACCTGCTGGTACTTCATCAACAAGTTTCACAGAATTCTTTAGAATGCTGAAAGGTATATGCTCGCTCGGTGATGAGAGCATCCATAGACGGAATTCAGGTTGAACGGATTCAGGTGATATGTTGTCGTAAACCTGTGGAACAAGTTTGTGTGAATTGTAGCAAGAAGTTGGATATTGATGATGGTGCTTACTTTTTCCAGGTTTTTAAGCCAGTTTTTGGCTAAATGACAGTTTTGCAGAATAGCCCAGTAACCGTTCTTCATGCATTCGTCTAGTAATTTGCTTGCGAGGGCGTCTTGGCCGTTTCCAAGGGATATGTAGTGCATTTTATCAGAACCGACACCCTGGGTAAAAAATAGATTAATACAAATTTTAGTCATTACGGAAAGAGCCTAAAAAACTCGTTTTTTTTGAGAAATTCTTAGGGAAGGAAATAAATTAAATTGAAATGAAACTTTCAGGTTCAATTGTTAAATATTTCAACATTCTTCTCAATTTTTTTCATTAAAATATAAGTCATAATATGCCGGGCCCCGGCATCATTTTAGGGATATATCCTTGTCTAGTTAACTTCCCGTAGGAAAATTTTTTGCATTTCTCGACGTTTCAAAGGTTTCTGAATATTTGGGCATACCTTAGAAAAAATGGATGTATGTGTGTGTGTGTGTGTGTATGTGTGTGTATGTATGTGCGGATACAAATTTTCGTCGACGATTTCGGGAACACCGATCAACCGATTTGAATAATTCAAAGAACATTCGATTCCTATTAATAAGAAGACGTGCTGATTAGTTTTTGGCGAAGGCAGGTCCAGCCGTTTCGGAGATACCAAGCAAAGAGTGCAGAAAATAGAAATCGAGTTTTTGAGAGAACGGAGCATCCAATTTGAATGATCTAAAAAACATTCAATTAGTAATGATTGGGAGAAGGGGTTATTAGTTTTTCGCAAAGGTAGGCCCAGCCATTTCGGAGATACAGAGCTAAATGTACAAAAAATGGCAGTTTTTGAGAGAACTAAGCGTCAGATTCAATTGATTCAAAGAACTATCTGCTCGTCTTAACAAAATAATTGATTTTGGAAAAAAAAAATTGTTCCAATTTTTTTTTTTTTTTTAATTTTTTGTATATCGAAAATAATAATTCAGATTTTATTTTTAATTCTGACTATAGTTCTAATATACTTTAAACAAATAATTTCAACTCTGCAATTCAGTTTATATAATTCTTATAAATATTAGACAATGTTACAATATTTATAATAATCTATTTGAAAACATTCAATATTCCTCGAACATTTCGTTATGGTACGGGAAGTTCCAGCAATTTGCCTTAAGGCACGATGCCACCCACCCCACTAGTTTAAACCTCTAAAATAGGCTCCTCCTTAAAGTAGTGGTAATATTGATATTCACCTGTAGTTCTCCAAATTTTATTATGTCGCAAAAAGGATCAACACCTGGTGATAACAGAATCATCAAAGGTGTACAACAATCTGTCTCACCATATAAACTTTTTAATTCGAATGGAGGAGACTCCAGGAATAATTCTCCTAAATTTTCTGCAATTGCAATAAACAATATTTAATATTTTAGCTATCTCATTTATCATTTATCATTTTATCTATTTCTATTTTTCCTACCTGCGACGAATTTCTGCATTAGGTTAACAGTTTTATCAGGATTCATCACAACCGATAGCACCAGCATCTGGAAATTGTTGAAATTGTCGCAAAATGGTTTTGGTAAATCGTTTTTGGATAAAGTTGCATTAAATTTTTTCCACAAATCCTCATTTTCTTCAATACTCTTTGCTATACCGTTGAAGGCTGTACATTTCTCCAAGCTGGAAACAAAATATAAAAAAATGATAATCTTGATAAAGGAAATTAAGATGTGAGGAATGCTTCAAGATTACCTGCACAATGCATTCCAGATTTGTTGTTCAAACCAACTAAAAGGCGAATTGGAACCGACTTCTAAGCAATTTTTCTTAATTTGCAACAACATCAGTAACTCCATGTGATCAACTTGGTTCTTTAACTTCAAAGTGTTTATGGCCAACATAAACGACAACAATAATTTGTCCTGAAAATAAAATGTATTCGATTAAATTTCCAATAAACTGATCAGGACCTTATCCAGGACTTACCTTGACAAACAAACTTCTGCAGACAGCCCTATAAATATCTAGCGAAAAAGCTTCTATAAGTCCATTCATCCTGGTGTTGATATCATCTTCCTTTTCGACATTCTGGACGATATCTTTGAATTTTCGCAAAAACCACTCAATGGTATGCTGGTAGACGTATTCGATACGAGATAAATCCTCTAAAAAAACAACACATATATCTCTATTTATATATATTTCATGATCTACTTACCAATGGTCATGTAGACTGTGCTTATATATTCAGCAAGTCTCATATAATTCATCCTGGATTCCTTCAATTCATCCAAAGCAGCTTCTGCAGTTTTATGTTTCGATACCAGTTCGTTTACTGATAATTTAGAAGTGACCAAAGTTTGGATTTTGGCCTCTTCTTCTAGCAGATTGTCTTCGGAAGACAAGACTGTCAGGGCTTGTTGTTCTAGATCGTACAAATTCCTGGAAAATAAAAGTAATAATCAAAATTTAACATTTCCTTCAAGAAGAAATTAATAGAAGACAACCAAAAAATTAGTGAAAAAATTCATCTCTTACTTTTTATTATCAGCCTGTTGTATATGATACTGCTCCCACTCCAGTTGTTCATCAGGTTTATCAATTCCCAAAACAATATCCAAGATTTTTGTTTCCAAACCGCAGTACGTCATCGTAAAGTTGATAATTGTAGTTTTAGACATCACATACAAATCCAGACGTGGATTACTCAAACCGGTTGCTAAATATAACCTGAAAAAAATATCCATCAGATACTTGGTCTTGATGACATGAATAATCTGGCTTACTTAAAGTCATTATTATAATCCACTAAAGTTTCTCCAAGTTTAAGACACCGACTACCAGATTGTTTGAATGTTTGTTTACCCAGCAAAGGATCTAATATAGGATCCAAGTCGTTGCCCAAATTTTCCAGCAAAATCTACAAAACCAAGACACATTTTAGTGTGCTAATAATCTGGCATAAATTTTATATTACCCCTTTACCGGTTGTCCAAACTGTATACTATTCTCCAGAATCCTAACATAATCCCCTTGAGTCTGCCGGACAATACTCAAATGCCTAGCCTTTTCCAAGTTCCTGATCCACTTATTAGCCTCACCTTGTGGATCCACGGCCAAAGGCCAGCGTTCACAATTTGTGGTAATCAAAGCATTTTCAATCACAAATTCATCAGAATTCAAACCGGATGCCAACCAAGATCTGATGAGTATTTCATCACCGATTGCAGAACGCAGTGTGTAATCTTTGTTGCATTGAATATTCAAACTTGTGCAGATATCTAACCATTGTTGGATACTTGAGGATCTTAAGTCTTTGGTCAGGGGACCTAGGTATGCTAGGAATGCTGATGATAGAAGAGTGTCACCTGAAATAATAGAAAACTATAAGTAACATCTTGTTTTTGGGTTGTGGTTTTAGAGGTACCTATAAGTGTTGTGGTTTTCTGGTCCAAATTAGATGCTTGTTGCAACATTTTATCTTTGTCGTCACCATAGCCTTCTAGAAGTTCTTCAGCACGTTCTAATTTTTTCTGACAAAGTTCTGCCTCAGAACTCAAAGCCGTGTGGTGCTCTCGATGACTATCCAACTCTTTCATCAATTTCGCCAACTTAAAACAAACTTAATCAATAAAAATTAACGTTGCATAGTTTTCACAAACCATACATTATCTTGTACTTCTTGTAGTTCATTCCTTTTAGCTTCTAAATTAGCCACAAGTTTGCGTCTTCACTTTCACAACTCATAAGCTCTTGTTTGGTTGGAGCAATTTTTTGGGCAACTACATCATACCTAAAATAGATAAAACAATAATCCAAATGAATTAAATTTTTATATTTTACTTACTTTGTCAGGGCAGTGATCCATTTGCAGAAACTTTCACCAACAACAGAAATAGCTTTAACTTTTTCAGGATCGAATTCCTCGTGTTCAATTTTTTCCTGCAGCTTGCTCATAATGTTCTGTGGCATATCGTCTTTGTCGAATTGCAGAAGAGTTTCTAGGAATTTGGGATCGGAAAACATTTTTTTGGACGGTGCCCAGTAGTCGTCTATCAAACCTGGACCTGTTGGGTTTTGGATCTTTTCGGACTTCACCTCCTAAAAAATAAAAAAAAGATATTTATATATTTATATATATATGGTGTATTTGTACAAGGTTACCTTAAGTAGGCATAAAGCTTCTGCTACGAGTTTAACACATTTCGGAGGATTTTTTACGGTTTTCAATGATATTATATCGGGATTGGTCATGGCAGTTAAAAGTCCAGTAGCTTCTTCCAATGCAGGTACAACCGTTGACAATTCTTTGTCGCAAGTTTGTCTTAGACGTTGTGTTGCTTCCAGCTGAAGAAAAAAAAACATAAAATTTTGAAGTCATCAAAATCAGTTGTTCAGAAAGTTCACCTTTTTGTTTACTGCTGATTGTTGTTTCATCACACTTTGTTCCAATTCAGTAGCAGTTAAAGTTTCTTTATCAACCTGGATCAAAAAATTCAAGTTAGCTTTAAATTAATTATACTGATATGATTACTGGTCAATTTACCTTCGCCAATATATCTTGTACTTGTCCAGACGCCACAGAAACTTGCGGTTTAAGAGCTTCAATTTTCTCCTGCATTATTCCAATTTGCAGTTTCGTGTTCTCCAATTGTCTGGCTGCAGCAATATGTTGCTCTTTTTGTTTCTTTAACATCCTGCCAGAAAAATACAAACACTGGTTACAAAATCCATAACGCACTTTAATTTTATTTACCCCTTACTTCTTGTTTTTTGTCAAGATAGCAGAAAACCTGGTCAACATCTCCAGATACGAAGCAGGCCCTGGATAAGCACAGAACCTGACATCATTCCGCAAACAAAACTCCTTAGACAGTTTTTGAGAAATGTTATGAAACCTCACAAAAGCGTTCACCACATCCTCCTGTTTCAGGTTGGCAAATGTGTCGTCCAATTCAGGATTCGAATTTGCCTGTTCCAGATGTTTTGTTGCGACTTCCAAAAATGCTGATTGAGGCCAGGGCTAGAAAAGGAACAGTCACAATATTTGTGCAATATTTACTTAAGCACAATGTTTTACCTGGTACCAGTTTATGGTGCAGTTGTCAATTATTTCAGGACAAGTTCTGGCTAGTTTTTGGAATTGTTGTTTTGCTGGTGAGATAGTCAGGATTATGTGGAGTTGCTCACGAATCTGAAAAAAAGAATAATTGAGAATATGAACATATATATCTAAAATATACAGATATATATATATATATATATATATATATATATAAAATATATATATATATATATATACTAGCAAACGACGAACTCCGTTTCGCCACCAGATGGTTTCGTGAGAAGATGAAGAAATTTTGTTTGTTTTTTTTTTTATATTTGAAAAGGAAAAATTTGATTTTAGTGCACAACAGTAATGAATTTATTTCGATTACAAAAAATGAAGTGTTTTTAGTAGAACTTCTCTAAGTAAATGAAAGTGAAACCGCCAATTACCGTTTCATTGAAGTGCTCTTTGGAAACCACATTTTTTGTTTTTGGTCTGACGTTAACACAAACAAAGCGGATGGTTTTCCAACTCGTGAACAGGAACGTATAACTGCCCATGTGAAAAACAATGATTTCCTAAATAATCTATTTGAAATTTATCCCGCAAACACTAAGCGATTTGCCTGCACTTGTTATTGCGAACGCAAGGCGAACTGTAAATTGCAATTGTTTGAAGTCAAACGGAAAACCAGTCGGAATTATGGTATGTCACCAAATCGCCAGCAATTTTTGATTGAATGGTGAAATTCAGTGCGTGTACATAATATTTCTTTGCGGCAAGAATTGCTAGTTGACTTAACCAAGCATAATTCTGATAATTCTCACTAATGTCATTACTCGAAATTTTAATTACTGTGCGTGAAATTTCAGCAATTTGCATTAGGGCACGATGCCATGCACCACTAATTTTCTTAGCTATAAACCTTGCGGAGCCCGAGACTTTTCCAACGAATGCAAAACTGTCGAAATTGGTTCGTGCGTTCTCGAGTTATTTCGTCAGGAAGGAAAACCCGACTTATTTTTATATATATAGAAGAAGAAGATATATATGTATATACAGTTATTTTTACCTGGGAAAGGAACAATTCGTATAAACTAGGTACAGATCCATCAGTCTGTGCTGATTTGTCTCTTTGGGCATCTAAAGCTCGCATTTTCTCCACAGCGTCTGCTCGTTCATCTGCAGAAAGCAATCCTGATACTTCGCCATGACGAAGAAGGGAAATGGTGTCAACCAAGTGGCATTTTTCTTCCAACTAAGAAAAGAAAATATAAGTCACAACACAGATAAGATAAAATAAGAAAAAATATAAATATATTTAGTATCAAAACTCATTTTTATTATTACCTGGTTATCGGACAGCATAAAAACACAATGCTTCTCAGC